TAGGAGTGGCTTCCAACTTAATAGGAATGGCCTCCAACCTAATAGGATTGGCCTCCAACTTATTAGCGATGGCCTCCAACCTAATAGGAATGGCCTCCAAATCCAAGCAATGATACACGATGAACAAAGCAAAAATGACACACATCCACGACGTCCACCATACATAGTGGACTAATATGGTGGGAAACTGCATGTCAAAACCTCTTGGCTTTTAATTTCTGAAGCTGAATGTTTGGCTTTGTACACTTGGCATTGAAAAGAAAAGAACAAGAGGGAGACAAGAAAGATCCAACAGTAAGATTATCAACCATTATCAACCAGAGAATCCGTATGACACGGCCGGCGCCAGCATTTTAGACCCTGCACAATCTGACTGAGGTGTGTAGTAAAGCATGGAACGGGGGCAACACACAAGATGAAGGCATGCCTAAAGATTCTAAGGTGTACCCAATCAATGGCCTCCAACCGACTCAGAAGTGGAAGGTGGTGAAGAAATAGGTTCCATGCCAGCATACTTACAGGTCCTTCCAGGTCCTCTTCCACCTCTTCGTTAGCAGAGAGGAGTCGAGCTAGTAGTAAGGCACGTTCCTAGTAACAAGGTGCTTTGTTACTACTAGTAAGGCACTTGTTACTAGAAGCGATGCACTTGTTCCTAGTAGTTTCTTGTTACTAGTAATGGCCTCCCCAATAGTTTCTTGATACTAGTCCTGCCAACTTCTTCTCCAAAATTGCATGACGACCATTCTCTGCCTTTCTGTATTTCCTTCCTAATGGATCCTGCTCTGGCCGGCCTCCACTTTGCGCTTAAGCTCAACGCGATGAAGCCCACTCTTTTACTTTTTACATTGTTTCGGAAGACAACAAAACTAAAACCAAATAAGCATTATCTGATTATCTGAGTGTGCGGCATTTGATATGCCGTTCAACAACGCAGCCTTTAATCCTTGCAACATCCCAACAAACGAGTTTTTGAGGACCAGCTTGATGCGAATGTGGTGAAATACAGTTTCCTCTACAGTCTCTTGGTCTCGATTCGATCTCTGTCTTAACTCCCCAGATCTCACCATCCGTCGCCCACACCCGTCCATAGTGGCTTTCGGCTTTCAACTGCAAGGCCTCGAAATCGAACGAAATTTCCGTGTGCTTTTGGGGTTCCAGTTTTGTCAAAAAACAACGGTCTTTTGTGTTTTGAAACACATTTTTCTAAAGTGGTTCAGATATGTTTCGAAAACGCCTTCAGGGAGGAAACGTGCTGAACTATGAAGCGTCGTTGTTGGCTCCCTCCAGATCCCATCTCCTCAATGTGCATGTTGCGGAGATTGTCAAATTTTGCCTGTGATGGAGCACGAGGCAAACGAGGCAAAACTGCAAGATAAGTTTACAGGGGCGATACAGCACTCTCCAAGCGCAGTGCCGGGAGTGCACTCACCCAGCTGTGCAACCGAATTCCTTCCGTTTTGCTCCCCTAGTCAGGTTCACATTGGGTGCAGGCCTTAGATTTTTTCCCCCTTGCCTTCCTTCCTCTTTTGCTCGGTTTTGCACCAAATTCATACCCAGCCGTCCTCCTTTATGCAATTACAACGCTCCCGGGTCTAGTCTATCAACAGAGTTAATCAACGCATTACCAACTAGGCTGCTGGGTTATTACCAGCCTTCCCCCCGTTCCTTCGTGTTCCTTTATATATATATGTGTTCTCATGTGTGTGTGTGCTCTCATGTGTGTTCTTACGTGTGCGCTCTGCATGTGCGCGCTCTCAGCACTGAGCTCTCGTATGTGTGATCCCATGTGCGTGCTCGTGTGCTGTCATATATCGGTTGCGCTCGTTCTCCGAACACGGAAATTTGGGGCCTCTTGCCGGGAAAATTGTCGTTCCTTTCCTTCGTCACTTCTCATCCTATCTCTTCCCCTCTCTTCTCCTCTCTTCGTCTCCCTTCTTGTCTCGTCTTCTTTCTTCCCCACTCTTCTTCTCTCTTCTTCTCAGTTCTTCTCTCTTACACGTCTTCTGTTCTTCTCTCTTCTTCTTTTCCTCTCCCTTCTAGTTTTTCCCCAGATAGCTGCAGGCTACAGGGGCTCTAACTTCTCAATGGTGTGGCTCTGGATCGGGGTTTTGGTTTTGGAGGCGCTGCTGCCGCGCTGATGCTGGCGCAGGTGCAGGTGCTGGCTGTGGATCGGCGTTTTGGTTTTGCAGGCGCTTGCCGTGCTGGCGCAGGCGCTGGCGCTTTCGTTTTGCGGGCGCTGTTGCCGTGCTGGCGCTGGCTTTGGATCGGCGTTTCGTGTTGCGGGCGTTGCTTCCACGCTGGCGCTGGCGCTGGATCGGCGTTTTGTTTTGCTGGCGTTGGCGCCGCGCTGGCGCTGGTCCCGGGATGACATCACGTAACGTGGGGGGTGACATCATGTCAAACGTTATTTTGGACGACGTCATGTCATGCCAGGGATGACAGCGCGCAATGCAAGGGGTGACATCATGTCATGCACAGAATGACATTATGTCAGACGACATCATGTCATGCCAGGGGTGACATCATGCCCTGCAAGGAGTGACACCATGTCATGCCCAGAATGACATCAGGTCATGTCATTCCCAGGGATGACATGAGTCATGCCAGGATGACAAACCTATACACCTGCTATCTGGGGTCTATGTCAGCATAATTTCTCTCATCTTCTCTCTTCTCCATTTTCTCTTGTCTCCTCTCTTCTCTTCTCTTCTCTTCTCTTCTCGTCTCGTCTCGTCTCGTCTCGTCTCGTCTCTTCTCTTCTCGTCTCTTCTCTTCTCTTCTCTTCTCTTCTCTTCTCTTCTCTTCTCTTC